TTTTTTTGAAAGGTTAATAAAGGATCGGAAGTCAGCAGAGGTAAAAAGCTCAATAGATATCCCCATAACTAAAAATTGCAACTCTGGATTTTCGATAAAACTAGAATGAATTGAATAAATCTCACTTCTTAAAATGATTGACATAATCTCCCTTGCGACTTCCTCTGGCCTCTCCGTTGGTTCTACCTCAATGATATTTCGGTTTTCCTCAGTTATGTATATAAGCTCATTTCGATCCACTGATCCTCCGACACCGACGCCGATGACCAAAACATTCTTCTGAACCAAATCGGTAACAGCTGTTTTCACCTGAACTTCTGTATTGACCGATTTTTCGTCCAAAATGACCACAACTACTTTTTTCGCGTTAGGCCGGACCTCCCTCAGCTCGTAGACTTTCTTGACCTCTTGAAGAGCCTTCTCCAGGTCTGGAGTGCCAGTCTCCCTCTGAAGTCGCGTCAGCAAACGGATCAATGTTGTTTTGTTTGGCACATTGGTAGAGAAGTCAAAACTTCTTGTAAAGTCAGACCCAAACACAATCACGGTGTAATGTATTCGGACGATTCCATACTTTTCAATTATTGAATTGATAGTGGACTTCATCAATGTGAATGTTCTATCGGCTAAATCCGAGGTGGCACTGATGACAAAAGTCAGGTCGATCTCTGGAATATTAGCTGAGTTTAGAAGAAAGGAAGAAATGAATTAATATAGTAGCTGCACGAAATCAAGTTCTGGTAACTTAAATGGTCGAATGGAAGGCCATACAGCAGAAAAAGAGTTTAAAAGTGGCGTTTATGTATCATGTTTATCTCTTACTCTTACTGGTTCGCTGATGCCTTACGATCTACGCTTCTTCTCTTGTGCGACGAGCCTTATATCCCCTTCCAAACTTATTTACCCACCGTTATAAAAAATCATTACCAAAAAACATCGAAATCTACTTAGTCCTAAAAAAAATTACCAAAAGCATATTCCTAAGCATTATTATAAGCGGCACACTCATAAATGTGTACTTTACCTTGCAGTGCTTTAAACATGATGGTCTCTGCTATCACAACTGGCCTCTGTGTTGTCAAATCCGGCACACGTATGTAATCACTTTGAGTTATAACCACCTTTGTCATCTGGTTACCAATTGCGTTCACTTGTTGTCCAAATCCCACTGACAGAATGAGCACACCCCTCTTTCGTAACCTAGCAGCATTAGCAATGAGCGAGTTGTCATCTCCAGCTCCGACGATATCTGAGAGCACAACGAACACTTTAGTAGCGTTCGGCCTGGATGACTTTGTAAACAGCTTTTCGGCTTCTTCTAGAGCCTTTTCGAGGTCAGGGTCTCCAGTGACCTTGTCGGTTCCATTTACTGCCTTGATAAGTTCCTCTTGAGTAATTGGTGCATTGTCAAAGGTGAATCTGGTTGTTACCCTGCTTCCGTAAATGATAAAGCTAAACCGGACTTTATTGACTCCATAACGGTCAATAATGGTGTTGATTATTTCTTTCATTAGACTGAAGATTTCATCTGAATTGGCTGATGCTGCACTGATTGCAAAACCAACGTCTACGTCCGGGAAATTAACTGGAAAATTTAAATTGATTAAAAGGTTCCATTAGAGATGGACTGACTGATTGGCAGACCGACTGACTGACTGAATGAGTGAAGACTATCTGACATACATATCGGGACCGAAACGATCCATTAAGATCACTGATCACTTCATGAGCACCTCTGCCAACGTCATCTATTGCATAACTTGCACTTATTGCAAAATGATATACATCGGCAAAAGCAGGAAGACGACTAGGTAACCGATTCCGAGAACACCTTCCCGGTGTAAAGAGGAATGGCAAGGACGCATCAAAACCAGTCGCTAGACGCTTTAATCTACCTAATCATTCTAAGTAGCATAATCCAATCTGCGATCTTTCCTTACATTTAGGTAGCTCGGAAAGCCGCAAAACTCTTGAACAAAAGTTTATCTCTCAAATCGGCACTCTTAACTCCATAGGTATCAGCGAAAGCTTTTCATTCTGCTAATTTCTTCGTGTTTTTCTCATCAGCATATTCCCACCAATAGCGTTGCTCCACTTTCTGCATATCAACCCACGCACAACCCACAATTCCTCCATTCGCTCTGACGAAGGGCTAACGCTCCAAACGTCAGTTTTTTAACTCTTTACGGTGGCCAATTTACAGTTTCAACTTAGTTGATGTCACCAAATTACATTGTTACACCCACCGACGCAGCACCACATTTTCTCTGGAAAATTACCCCCTTTATTTATCTGACTTGCAGATTAACTGACGGACTGAAAGACTGACTGGCTGACTGACTAACTGACTGATCAAGTGACCGATAGACTGAGTCATAAACTGACCTACTGATAGGGACAGACGGACTGGCAGACTGATTGACAGAGTAACAGACTTACTGATTGAGACTGATTGGCTAGAACTTACGACAGAGCACCCAGGAGGAACACGTCAGATTTATAGTGACCAAAGACAGGGAAGACATCTTTGATTTGCAAGTGTACAACAACACTAACAGCAGCAATAGTATCAAAACAGTATTTCGAATTATAGCTGAGCGAAATGACTTACGTTTGAGAATCCTTTCCATTATACGCACTGCCAGTACTGATGGATTGATGCTCAGACGAGCGGATATGACATCCAACGGGTTAGGTGAAATGATACTCAACTCGCTTCTGGATACTCCATCTCCTACTCCTACCGAAATCACTAAGACCCCGAGATCTTCTAGAGGTCTGACTGCTTGGCTCAAGAAGTTTGGACGCGAACCAGAATTCTTATCTGTCATAACTACCAAGACCTTCTTGGCACCCGGTCGTCCAACACTCTCTTTAAAGACCCGGTAGGCTTCTTGTAGTGCATTTATCAGCACAGGGCCCCCGGACAAAGCAGGTTGTTTATCAATGGCTATTTTGAGCTCATTTGCGGAGAGAGGAAAGGTTCTGTTAAAATTGACCACCCGGACTACTTGGTTGCCGTAGACAATGATGCTGTAATGGATGTTGTTTACCCCATATCTGTCGATGAATCGCTTGATGGTGTTTCTCATTAGCTCGTAAGATAGTGAAGAGGATACTGATGTAGCACTTAAGGCAAACACGAGGTCGATTTTGGGGATATTCGGATCTAAACAAATGGAAGAAGAAAATAGGTTTTTGGCTCTAAAATGCTTAAATCCTTTGCATTACGACTACTTGAAAAATATTTACAACAAAAACTGACGGTTCGATTCAGATTTTAAAGAGCTTCAACAAAACTCGGTAAATAATGGGGAGTTTCAATACAGCTGCCCAGCAAAGCTAGGAGGATTGCAAAATTTTACTGAGTGCAAAGATTTAAAAGCGCAAAAATTGGTGTAAAAATGTCAGGCGCCATTTAAATAAAATACACTCACCTATAGTAGGTGTAGGCACTGCCGTTGCCGTTGGCGTTGGAGTTGCTGCAAGAGTAGTATATGTATTAGCTTTGTTACTAACAAAAATAGACCCGGCACATATTACTCTGGATCAGATTTTACTCTTCACACATCAAGTTTGAATGATATTGAAGGGATCTAAAGACTTTCTTTGCAACTGAAAATCCCGGAAACTAGAAGGCGTTCTTCGTGCGAATGTTCAATCAGTTTTGACTTATTTTATTTAATCACTTTCACCAGAGTATGGTGAGGGTCGCACAACAGAGCGAGGCTCCAAATTAAGTGCGCCCAATATCCCACTCATCCCACCCCAGGGGAGGACATCCATCACACAGTAATCTCGTATGTGGGAAATTAACGTCTCCTACCCCAACCCTGTAGGAGACGGGACCTCCATTTCTTCGTCCCTATCCGAGAAGACTAGAATATCTAACCATTTCTTGATGTTATAGAAAGGCAGCAAATTCTTCTCAATTATTTTAAGACCCTGAGTGTTGGTCCGGCCGGGGCTAGAACCCTCGACCTCCCGCACAACAGTCCAGCGCTCTATCCATTGAGCTAACCGGGAGGCGGTTAGCTCAATGTTTGTGCTTTGTTAGTTTGTGCTTTGTCATCACCAAATAACAAATCTTAATCTAATTTATGAAACATGTTTATATCATTACTTTTACAAGGTCCAGGGTTACAGTTCTCTGTTTCAAAGGTTGTTCCCATACAGTCGTCACCGCCTCCCGAGGCGGGTGGATTGGTGCACGTTCTTGTTCGGTTGCGTTTTCCATCGCCACAAAGAACATTGCATGGTCCTGTAGCCCATGGAGTCCATCCGCCATCAACTGAACGGAAGAAAATGCCGTGAAGGTATCAATGTTAAGAAAAAAAAACTACTTCTGGTAAGTTTCTACAGAAATTGCGCAACTGCGTCAGTGGGGTTATTACAAGTTCACTTGGTTTTATCATCTAATTTGATAATATAAATTAGCCACCGTGAAGAACTTCCCAAGCTGACGTTTCGAGCTTTAGCCACTCGTTGGAGTTCTGACGAAGTGTTATATTCTCTTGGTCATACTTTTAGCTTGAATCTATCTTCTGGTGCAAAGTGTCATCAGTTCGTATTGTAATTTGGAGCGTTGAGTTGTTACTGAAGAGTTTACTTTCGGTAAACTGAAGTATGATTTCAGTGGCCGAGAACTGACCCGATAATGATTTTACCTGGACAAGTCTGGGTTTTGCATTCCCTTGTCTCTGTATCATGGCCAAGACAACGTTTCCCACCATTGGACGGCTGCGGGCTATCACACTGACGCATTCTTGATTGTGTTCCGCCACCGCATGTCCTGCTACAGACAGTCCAACTTGCCCAGTTTGACCACATACCATCAACTATGAAAAGTATCATGAATGGTTGATGTCTTTTGATAAAATTACACAGAAAAGCTGGCCAGGCTACTAATGACTTCTTTGGATCTTTATTTTGAACCCGCTATCATTACGTTGATTGGTTTGTTTTAAAATGATTGTCACTGAAACGTTCATTGTCACTGAAACGTTCATTGTCACTGAAACGCTCATTGTCACTGAAACGTTCATTGTCACTGAAAACGTCCTCATTACTATTACATGGCTGGTAAAAAAACTTGTCCAACAAAGTTTCAGTTGCCAACACTAAATTTTTTTTTCTTCTAGTTGAAACCTTTACCGTTTTTATTTTATTTTATTTTATTTTATTTTTATTTACTTATTTTTTGTTTTTTAGAGTGAATCATTATCGAGTAATTTCTCGATGAACGGAAGGATCTCTCGGTAAACTCAACTTTTCCCTACGAGTGCCAATTTGAAAGCCGGTAATACTAATAGAACTCACCTGGGCAGGTATTGGTGTTACACTCTCGAGTCTGGAAAGTATCTCCAGTACAGGCCTTCCCACCATTGGAGGGAGAAGGACTATCACACCGCCGGGTCCTGGTTTGAGTTCCTCCTCCACACGTCTTGCTGCATTGTTGCCATTGAGTCCACGGAGAGAATTTGCCGTTCACTAGTAGCAATGAAAAAATAACCAAGGTAGATTTTAAACATCATTTGCCATCACGGTTATCTCCCCTTTTTGATGATCGCAATAAGAACCCAAACTGGAATCCATCGCAAATCTGCGCACGTTTTTAAAAAAATCAAACCAACGCATTTGGGTATCCAATAACTTTAAAAAAAAAGACAAGTATTTAGCGTATAAATTACAATTTATTTGCCAAATTGTTACAAACTCTTTGCTTTCAAAAAAAAGTCACACTAAGAGGAATGTCAGACAATAAGTCATGGTTTGCCTTTAAGATTCTTCTCGCTAAATCTCACCTGGACACGAATGCGTTTTGCACTGTTCGACCTCCACGTAGCTGCCAATACATCCTGATCCGTCACCAGACGGTGGTGGATTAGTACAGGCTCGTGTTCTTGATCGCGTTCCACCTCCGCATGTAGCACTGCATTCTGTCCATGAGTTCCACGGAGTCCACCCGCCATCCACTGGAGTCAAAAGGAACAAAGATATTCAGATATTACCTCATTTGTTCCCGTCTCTTTTAATTTGTCTCACAGAACAGACATTTTGTTAACGCCTTCACTTTGAAGGTAGTTTTGTATCTTTGATCCTCTCCTCCATACCTGGACATGCTTGTTTGTTGCACTGCTGGGACTCCTCTGTCCCACCCACACAGCTCTTCCCGCCGTGTGCGGGTTTAGGGTTGGTGCAAGATCTTGTCCTCCTTTGTGTTCCTCCACTGCACGATTTTGTACAGGTCGACCATTCACTCCAGGCTGTCCAGCTGCCATCTACTGGGCCTACGCAGAGAAAATCTCATATGAAGCCACGTTTATTAACTAATGTTGGACTTTGGACGTTTCGTTTGTTCTCCTTTCGTGCACAAGAGAAGGTTTTTTGACAACAAAACTCGATGCCAGCGGTCTTATGTAAATTTTTTCAGTTAAAAGATCGTAATTAGTTCTTTCTTTAGCGAATTACATGTTAAGGTTCTTGAGCGACTATTTTCTTGAAAGCTGATTATTTTCCAACTGTTCTGCGCCCGTTTGTTTCTTTACAAGGGAAAAATCAATCCTACTGAGAAATTAACGTGATCTCTAATGAACACGTGCAGTTACGTCCGTTGTACCACATGGTACAAATAAAGTCTGTTTGGTGTTTCTGTATGTACTTTAAAGTGTATGTACTTTACAGTGACAGAATCCCGAAGCAACTCCTCAACGGAGTGCTCAGTAAGGGAAAGAGAAAGCAAGGCAGGCCTCTGAAGCGCTTTAAAGACTACATCAAGGCCAACATCGCCTACACTGGCATCGTAACAAAGCAGCTTGAGGAGTGTGCACAGGATCGCACTGGATGGCGTGCATTGACGCGCGAAGCAACAAAAGTCTTCGAAGTACACCGGCGAGCCAACGTCACTGAGGCTCGCGCTAAAAGGAAGGCAGCAGCAGAGACACCCAAACCTACAGGCCAGTTTCCCTGCTCCCAATTTGGACGTGTTTGCCGTTCCCGCCTTGGACTCCTCAGTCATCAACGAACCCACCCACGCACACAGACGTCATCATCGAGACCGATGGACGACCAATGATGTACTTTACAAACTAGTTCACCGATCATCTGTGGGGTTTTTGTTGGGCATAAAGTTCAGCTATTCGTGCACTTACCTGGACACTTCCCCACATTGCACGCTTCAGATTGTACTCTTGACCCAGGGCAAGAGGCTCCATGGTTGGATGGTGAAGGATTAGTGCATGAGCGGTGCCTTGTTCGTTGTCCATCGCAGGTCTTACTGCAGCCTGACCACTGACCCCACGCACTCCAACCACCATTGACTAGTTCAAATAAGATATCCTTTTGTAAGGCCTTGAATAACTCGTGCGAGACCTCTTATTATAGTTTAATAGTATTAAATAGTGACGGAGACTACTCTTTGAGAAATAATCTTATCAAGAAGGCTCAGTTGCAAATCTCGCTCCTCTTAAAAAAGCAAAGATCAAGGAGCAAAACAAATGGAATCTCAGTGATTTGTAGACAATGACTGAGGTTGAACATGAACGATAAAACGTCACCTTAAGACTACCCTGAAGGAAAATGTAATCGCTCAGCTTCGTGTGACTCATAGTAACCCCCTTATGTTGAAATACAAAATACGGGGATACAATTAATCAACTGCTTACTCCTGTTAAGGAATGCATTGGGATGGGAATCTTTTTTTTTAATCTTTTGAGTTAAAGATTTTTGGGCAAATATGATACGGCAATGATTTAATCTATTACTTGCTTTAGACTTGATTTTGCGAAGTACCTGGGCATCCTTGAGAATTGCAACTCCGATATTCATTTTTATTTCCTGGGCATGTTTTACCACCGTTCTGTGGTGGAGGGTTTGTACATTGCCTGTGTCGATTGGAGTTTCCACCACCACACGTTTTGTCACAGGCAGACCATTGTGTCCACTGAGTCCATCCTCCATTAACTAATTGGAATAATAATTATTCTTAAAGGAGTCGCCTCACCACTTTTGGAGTCAATTCTGCGCTGTTTAAAACTTTGTTTAATTTCAACGAAACAACAAAATATTTTCTGCCTTTAAAAGCACACACAACCCACAATTCCTCGTTTCGCTCCGACGAAGGGCTAACGCTCGAAACGTCAGCTTTTATAATCGTAACGGTGGCCAATTTACCGTTTCAACTTTGTTGATATATTCAAAATATTTTTCGTCTTGAGTTGAAAGCACAATAAAGGCCACATTTGTAACCATTTACCTCCTTCTTATGGGGATTATTTTTTCCCTATAATTAACATGTTGGACCTCTGTAACCATTTTCAAAAAGATTCTGAAGGTATTGCCGCAAAAATTTGCTTACCTGGGCAGTTTTGAGTGTTGCAAGACTGACGATCTGTATCGCTTCCGCTACACTGATGGCCGCCATGTTGTGGTGGTGGATCGTTGCAAGAGCGCTTGCGCGTCTGTGAACCTCCTCCGCACGTCGCAGAGCAGCCTGACCATGACTGCCAATGAGTCCAGCCTCCATTAACTAACAAATCAGAGAAATTAATTGATAAGAAATACTAGCAAATGCATTCAAAAAAGCATAGTTCTACATATGGATGTTTAGAACCTATAGCGTGTCGCTTATGTACAGTGACAGAAGACTGTTTACACCAAGTCCCCGCAGACCAAGCAGGTAGTAGTCGAGCTTGAAAGAAGAGTCTCCACTCTTCCCACCACCTCACTGGTGGTGTCGGTACAAGTTCACTGAAATTGATCACCACAGCCTTTTGCGCTCCGACGAAGGGCTAACGCTCGAAACGTCAGCTTTTGTAATCATTACGGTGGCCAATTTACCATTTCAACTTTGTTGATATATCCAAATTATTTCGTTACTCCCACCGACGCAGCCCCAAACAGTTTCTTTCGAAACTATCAGCCTTTATTCTTTTGTGGTCAGTCTGTCATCGTTTTGGAAGAGCGGAAAGGGCTCATCTTCTCTTGATTTGTGTCCCACCCTATGATCGATCCCTGATACTACTTCTACTACAAGTATCTTTATGATACGTACTTGGACACGGGTCAGAGTTACAGTTTTGATGGTCGAAATCATTTCCCGCACAATCATGGCCACCATGCTGTGGTTGTGGGTTGTTGCATATCCTATGCCGTGTCTGTCTTCCTCCGCCACAGCTCACCGAGCATCCTCCAAAGTTGGACCAGTGAGACCATGCACCATTAACTATGCACGTCAAGGGAAAAGGAATAAATGCAGGGTTTTGCACTGCGATGGGAGTTTAGTCCATTTTCCAGCCCAGGGTTTATGGGCAGCAAAATAAGTTTGACCTAACTAACGCGAGTAAATAAAATACTATACTACTCTAATCTAAAATGGCCAAAAATTAGGCAACACACTCTAAGGCTTTTGTTCAGTTTAATGCAACGAAATTTAACTGACTGAAAGTTACTGCGGTGAAGTATAACAACTGTAGTGGGAGACTGATTGCTCTTATTCAGGAATAGCCAAGAAAGAAGTTTAATAATCAGGAGATGTTCGAAAATAGAAGAATTAAAGTACATTCGTTTTAACATAAGAAATGAAATGAGATGAGTAGTGAATACTTCCATTTAGAGTGTCACCTACTTGGACAATGCAAACGATCGCTGCAATCCTTAGTTTGTTTTGCGTCTCCCGTACAAGAGGAACCGCCTCCAGATGGAGGAGGATTGTTACATTTCCTTGTTCGCGTTGCTGTCCCGTCACCACAAGTTTTACTACAGCCAGACCATTGTGACCAGTGGCCCCATTGTCCATTCACTTGAGCTACAAGAAACCATATCAGTACGGTTTGTTTTAATTCCTGTGGACGTGGCTGTATTCTACGTGGGCCGAGATTAAATATGACCCCCTTGTAGGTTTTTGCCGGCGACGTTGATAAAACTGAGTTGTTGTATGGTTCATCGAGGTTAACACTAAGAAAGTTTTTATTACCAAAAACATGCTAGAAATTCGACCCTTAAGGAGAATCGCGGCTGTAAGAAAACTTTGCGTTGAGTGAGAATACCGTTAAACAATCAGTGAACTAAAGTATTCTTTTTTCTGCATTTCTATCGGTGGTCGGTAGTGCATCTAGATTATGAAAAGTCAAACTACATAGAATCATTAGAACTCTTACAAGCGCAGCCGTTGGGGCAAAAGCCATCTTCACCCGAATTCCCTCTGCATGCGGCTCCTTGGAATGTAGGAATGGGATTTGTACAACTCCTATACCGACTCCTGATGCCATATCCAGAGCCTTGACCATAAATATTGCACTGCTGAGAACATCCTGACCAACTGGACCAAGTCGTCCATCTACCATTTATCGGTGTTAGGTCTGCAAATGCCACACAGATACTTTAGAAGCATAAAATTACACCTTTTTAAGCTTTTGTCACGCTAGCGCCAAATTAGTCCATGCCGCACCACAAAGAAGAGGCCCTTATACCCCTTTGTAAAACTGAATCACGTTTAAGTATTTGGCCTTATCACGCATCACGAATAAAATGTAAAATTATTTCACTTTCATGAGAAATTTGAGACGATCACGTTTCACATAAAAATAAAAACCAATTCAGGAATTATCGATCCATATGAAGTCCTTGTCTAGTCAAAACCCAGGTAAAAACCTAATTACAGCCGTTCGAGGATAAAACGTAGAATTTTAAAACCATTAAAAAGCTGGAAATTCATCGCGCAAAACAAAACTAGTTCACGAATCTCATTCAAAGATCTTATCATCTTTAATCACGATTCACGAATAAAGACAAAATGAAATCACGATTGATGAGGAAAATATCGCCCATTCACGCTTCGTGCTAGAAATATAGAGGACCCTCAAAAAAGAGTTGTTCCCGAGAAACATTTTTGAAATTATCGAGTGATGCCAAAATCGACATACATGTATCCATATCGTAATTTCACTTCTTTTTTTTTTTTTGTATATACTTTCCCCTTTCAAAAAAAAAGGATCGATGCGGAGTGGAGGAGGCGGAGAAATCTCATGGAATTTTCTCAAGTTTTTTCAAAATTTGCCTTGTTTCTTAACTTTGTTGTTCTTTGGAGCTTTCATGTTGTTGGTTTGTTTTTCTATCTTTACACATTTTTTTTCTGCGCGTCCTTAATCCTTAATTCAGATATTTACCTCCGGCGCACAAATTTACGTCCACTCGCAGGCAGAGACCGTTTGAGGCAGTAAGTGGTTCTCTCGGATTAAACAATACATATCGTGCATTGACAGGTTTCTTCAAAACTGTTTTCGCCACATCATCACCATTCTTTATTTTACCCCAAAATGCCTGAAAAAAATTATATTGAATTTAAAGAAATTATATTGTCGACTAAAAAAGAGCCTAAAAACAATCTTACATTTACCACAAAACGAGAATGATCTGGATCACGATTCGACTGTTGTTGACATGTGAAAGTCTGGCCAAGGATAGACTAGACTATCAAAGGACTGAAAGACAAGCAATTGCGTCAAGATAATTGGCACTTCTGTCCACTCAGTGATGTTTTACCTCAGGACGTGATCCACTTTCATCAAGGATGTAAGAAAAAGTAAATCCGTCTTTACTTGTTTTTACATAATACGATGAAACTGATTTTTTTGTGCTTGCTTTTCCTTGTACAGCCAACTGATCTATTGTGACAACACCACCTTGAAAAGAAACGAAGCAGTTAGAAATTTATGCCTAATAATTCTTCAGTCCCTCGTCAATATTAAAGCTTGAAAACAGGCCTGACTATAAAAAATAATCTTGATATCGTTGCATTATTTTCCTCATGTTTCATAAGGATAGAGGACTTGATAGTGGAGTTGAACGAAGCAGTGAGCAAAATGGAGTCAATGGAAAACATTGTCTATCTGTACTGACATCTTTGACTTTTTTGTGCTCAGCTAGCACTTCGAAGCCGCTGCAGAAAAAGTTATACAACGTTTCAATGGAATTCTATTGCAAAGGTGACCTACTTATCTCAGAAAACGCTGGAGCACAACATCCCTACTCCATGATGAAGGATCTGCAGGCTGGTAGAGACTGAGAGGTCCCCCTTTTTTTTGTCATACTTACACTTCTCGTGAATTACCCTCTCGCCCATAGATCTGATCCCCAACTGATTACCTCTATCTTTATATATGTTGTAGTTCAATTTTATATTTGGTTCAAATTTTATTTCCATTGTTCTCGGTCATGTTAATGTATGATAATGAGTTTGAAACAAAGGAAAACAAAATTTGAACCAAGGATAAAATTGAACTACAACATATACACAGTTAAAATTTTTATACACAGTTAAAATTTACATCAACTACTTACCTAAATCAACAATAAGATATTGTTGTTTGTTGATAGTTGCCGCACACCATACGTCGTTGCTATTTATTTTTGGGTGCCCAGGCCCATGGCTGCTGGTCGAGGCGGTGAATTTTACATTTTTGTTTGAGGTGATATATGATGGACATGCAGGCGACTCGGTAGTCGGCGCTAAGAAACAAGAAACAAAAACGTTCTCAAGACTGTTACAGCAAGTTAACTAATCATTAATATATGACGATAAAGACGATACTTTCGCTGAACAGTTAACGCTAATTTCAAGTCAAACTGCGACAAATTATGACGATCCAAAGTCAAGCAAAGAAATTATTCTCACAGGTGGAGTACAATTTAAGCAAGTGCAGAAAAAAAAAATCCTGAGGCCTCGACGGGATTCGCACTTGTTCCTCCATGATACTAGTTGGACACTTCTACCAACTGAGCTACGAAATCACACTTTGGGAGCTTGACAAACTTGGAGGAAAACTATTTCATTAGAAGTTTTTTATAGTCCTAACTGTGGGAAAGTTTCTTTCAGAGAAGTTAGCATATGCTATCCAGGGAGCCTTTTTTAAGTTGACGTCACCAAAAAAAATGAGAACAAAAGGGAAAGCGCATTTCCTGTTCAAGAGGAAATTAACAGGAATTGTTGAAACAAAGGATTCCCTGACGAGACGCTCGAAGGTAATTAGTTAAGGAAAACCTATTTTGAAATTTCCATGACAAAAGATAACAAATAGAAAGGTTATGCAAAAGTCATTTTAGATAATAGGTATAACCGAAAATCATACAAAAGTGCTTTCTAGATCACGTGATTGACGCTAGAGACGTTTATTACTTTCTTCACTTCAAAGATCTGTTAGGAAAAAGGCAGTTGCCTGTTATGAGCGATTACAAAATTTGTTTCCTTCATGCACGCACTACTCTGCAATACTGGGTTTTTCAATGAACGATAAATGCTAAAACGTCTACTCATTAGGTCTAAGAAAACCCATGTAAAACCGACATACCTGCGCATATATTTTCCAGAGAAGCGAGAGAAAAAAAATTAAACATAGCACAACAGGTTAAACTTATTTATCGATTTGAACCATATTTCAGCTTTTTGGTCTCATGAGAAGCGATAAAGTTCAATTGTTTTAATTCTCTTTTCTACCTGTTATGCATTAAGTTAAATAAGTTCTGAGAATTTGGTGTTCCATGTAAAACTGAAGTGCTATTGGTGAGACAGAGTATAGCAGTTGTTAGATAAAACTACTTGTTTACCTTCTTGGGAGTTTTGGGGGCTCGTTCAATGAGTTAAGCTTGAATTTTGAGGTCGAAATGCATAATATCTGTCTAAAAACAGCGCTCTTTATTTCACTGGATTAATTGCCTGGAGTTTTGCCCCACCCTTGTGTATGATATAGCGTTGCTAAATATTGAGTGGCCGCAAGCCTTTTACCATCGATGACTAGCCAAAAAAAGATAAAATGAATTAGTTCCCATCTTAATATTTACCTTAGTGCCCCGATTGCTGCCAAGGATTTATCCTTGCTTGAAGAGGTTGTTGAAAAATTTCAAACTACTAGATTTAGTTCTCGTGGAATTTTGTTTGTGGTACTTCTTGCTCAACATAATACCTCAAAGATCTTACTTTTTGAAGAGCTTTGCTTGAAACCGATCAAAGATAAGAATAGGAGAGCTGAAGTTGTGTAAAAGAAACTTAGATTTCAAATTTTTTGTAAATTATTTTTTAATTCTTGAAAGAGAGAGTTGTTTTTATATGGTTCATTTGATTTAGTGCCCCTGTGAAGTTCTTAATCTAACGTGTACAACAAACACTATATTACGCTTAGAGCAGAAAACGTTCGAAAAAGATTGGCTTGTTCAGCAGATGATTAGTACTTTTTTTTCCTTGGGTAGATTTGGTAACATTATCTAAGTTTATCGCAAGAGAGCATACATTGCTTCTAAGAAGTTTTCATTTTTTTTGTACATTGACGTACACTGGACCTTGCCTTAGTGTCCGCCAGCCAAAATAGATTCGGCACGTTTCTCTGTAGAGACCAATATTTTTGGTGACCCGCTCGTTGAAAATCCATTACAAATGAAACTAGTTGTCGTCTTCAGTTAATTTGAAAAATCAGTGCAAAGAAGAGTCTTGGTAAAAATATTTGACACAGTGCAATGCATATTCCTTCAATCCATTCAAATTGTTCGCCCCGTTGTTAAAAGGCGTGATGTACCATACTAGTAGAACATAAGATATGAATGAAAAGTGTAAAAGGGAGACGATATTGCAACAAAAACACTGTCTTAAAAAATACATATCGTTTCCCTTCCTGTTAGTAGTCTTTTCAATTCTAGCGAAAGGCTTTTATATGGAAAGAATGCTTAAATTGCATTAGGAAACGCAGTTAGGTTATTATAAAAACTATTCGCCCTTTTTCTCGGAGCTCTTGATGATTTAGAGCGGTATTGATACAGAAATTGGCAAAATCGTGCTGAAAAAAGTTTTTAGAGATGAATTTCCCCCAAAATAAAGTTTTATGGAAAATTATTGGAATTGTGCAAAATGCACAGGTATTGTGGAGTGAAAAAGAACTTTTAAAAAGATCTCAATCAAAAGATGCATATCACGATTAAAATTTCCATTCACTGCGTGTGTGTGCTTTTTTAAAGCAACTTATTTTATGAAAAGCTGGACACAAAAAAATAACTACGAATAAGTATATGTCATCTTTGAAATTTTTACGATAAAGAATTTCCTTAAAATGTGTTTGACGAGGAAACCGTACTTTATTTCATAATTGTTCTGTAAGAAAAGACTTACTGGTGTTGATAAATCAAAAGGGAAAAATAAAGGAAAATGTAAAAACTTACCCGGGTCATAACCATAGTAGTAAGTGCCTTTTGCTTGTGAGAATGTGATTGCAATTGTGAAAACTAACAGCCAATTCCATGAAGAAGAGGACATCTTGCTCGGCTAAAACCTGTTCTTCAAGGCAGCGGTGACACTTTGAGCCTACTTCTGCAGCCGACGGAGACCTTTTCCCTCTGTCTATGTTAGCCCGGGTAACCTTAAACGAAGAGCACAAAAACCTCTTTCGTTTAGCTGACCGCATTCCAACGCCTGCTTAAGTACAAAGCTAAGTGACGTTCGTATATACGACGTCATATCGGATTTAATTAGAAAGAGAAGCAATAATGTTCCATTAAAGAGTAATGCCATTACCCTCAGGGTTAGATCTTGGCGTTTTAAGCGCTGAATCATAGAAATATCTGACTTATTTTCCTTTTGCTGAAGTCTGCTTGTGAAATTATCGAGGCCAAGAGCTGCAGGGTTTTAATTTTGGTTAATTTTATGGTTCGTGACCTTTTTTTTTCTATTCATCTTCAGTCGTTTAACGATAATTGACGGGACTTTTAAACAATGTCTTTGCTTTAATTGTTGATTCCCGTAGAGGCAAGGGTCAGAGAGAATACACTGGGCGTAGATATGTGAGAATTTGGAGTCTGACTTGGTCTTAAGACGTTTTCATCTATATATTTTTCTGCTGTGAAACTGAATAGATATAAGTTTCTAGGGCGCGTGCCCTGGTCACTCCACAAAATAGATAATTTGCGTGAACTGAAAATAATTGAGGCCAATATAAGACACCCTGTTCTCGTGGGAAGAAACTTGAACCCTTTGTTGAGATTTACTCGCTTTCATTAACATGTAACGGTGTAAATCTTAAGGGTTTAATCGTCTTTGTGCAGAAAAGCAGGTTTAGTTTAGGCTGACGACAAACCGTGAGAACCTTTGTAAAAAGAATGTTCAAGAGTGCGGTAAGAACCCTTTACGGATGGATGACCATATTGGAATTTATGCATGGTCAGGATATATCACTCTAAAAGATATCTAGAGAGGAATAAATATATGGAATCAAAGAGAAATTGTAGAACTTCCGAGTTTCATGCTAACTTGCACTAACCCATAGCTCTTGTTTACTTTACCCTTTTATTGGCAAAATGAGGAAAAGCGGTTTTTTTTTACCAAGTAAGTAAGTAAGTAAGGACTTTATTTATAGAGTAAATAGCTGGCCCTCAAGGACCCTCGGTTTTCAGATTATTTGACAGTTTTTGAAATTTCTTGTTTCGAACATTTTATAAGTGATAAATCAAAGGTCGTTACGTTGTAGTGTACAGTATTTTGAGCTTGAGTGCATCAAAGTGCAGAATCATGAGCGGCTACCTCACCCTGGTGGCCTGGGGCGACAATTATACCACTTGTCATTGATTAGTATTAGGACCATCAACCCAAATGGTTTAATCTGTTATTAAGATATTGCTTTTACGACACAAGAGCAGATATAAATAATAGATATTTAGCGACAATTTTTTCAGCTAATGTGTACTGTCTACAAAGGTTTTGACCAATACACCAACGATTGAAGTTCATTTAAACTGGTTTCGTAAAATTATGATGCTAAATAGTGTTCCCAGAATTGCGCAACTTGCTTCGACAGCGCTATCTTTCACAAAATTAAGTTAAGTCTACCTAAATACACATCCTTGGTACCAACAAAAATTTATTCTTTGATACGAATATATAATACATATTTCTTTAGTGCAAATTCCTCCACGGAGGTATATATTTGTCGATCGTCTCGAATTCAACTATTTTTGTCAAATTAGCAAGAAACTAGTTCTGGAAAATGATTCACGTCTTTCCAATTTCAAAAACATTTTGTTTCTATTACTTGCATCGATGGGACGCCGACAGTTCGTTCCTCGGCTCTTTTGACTCACAAAGGTCTCATCGCTTTCGCAACCAATCAATCAATCAATCAATCAAGTTTATTGTCTTTACGTGGTTACCCAATTGCCCGAGCCAGAGGCTCATGTATAAAACGTAAGAC